GTCATATGTGTTCAGGATTGTAATATCTTCCTGGTTAATGTTCTTTTGATCAGAATTAAGTGACCCTCTTTATCTCTTCTGATTAGTTTTAGTTTAAAGTCTGTTTTTCTAGATATTAGAATTGTAACCCCTGTTTGTTTCTTAGTGCCATTTTCTTGAAATATTCTTTTCCATCCTTTTACCTAAGGTAGTACCTGTCCTTGAAGGTGAAATGGGTTTCTTGCAGACAACAAAAAGATGGATTTTGTTTCTTAATCCGTTCAACTAGCCTATGTCTTTTGACAGGCCCTTCTGGCTTTCATAGTTTGTATTGATAATACTGTAATTCTGATAGGCTTTCCTTTGTATGTGACTTGTTTTTTTTTTTTTTTTCTGCTTTCAGTATTCTCTCTTTGTTCTGTACATTTAGTGTTTTTACTGTGGTATGCTGTTGGGAGTTTCTTTTCTGATTCTGTCTATTTAGTGTTCTATGTTCTTGTATTTGTGTGGGGATCGCATTCCTTAATTTTGGGAAATTCTCTTTTACAATCCTTTTGAAGATCTGGTCAATATCATTAACCTGAGATTGTCCCCCTTCTTCTGTGCCTATGATACATATATTTGTCTTTTCATGTTGTCTCATATCTCCTACATATTCCATTCCTGTGATTTTAAATTTTTTTCATAATATTTGCTTGAGTGGTCTAATTCTTCAAGTTTATCCTGCAGTGTTGATACTCTGTTTTCCATTTCATTCATTCTAGTGGTGTTGTTTCAAGTTAACTTACTGAGTTTTGTACTTCCGTCCTAAGTTTTCTTCAATGTTTCTGTCTCTTTTGTGAATTCATTCAGAAGTTTATCCCTCTCTTCTCTTAGTTCTTTGATTTGTTTGTTCTTGTGTTCTTTACATTCGTTGAATTCCTTGATCAAGTTTATGACTGTCCTTTTAAATTCTGTGTCCTGGGTTATTTCTAGGAGGTCCTCCTTGTAGAACTCTTCTGTAGGACTGGTGAAATTTGGTGGGGACATAGTGTTTTGGCTTTCCATTTTATTATTTTTTTCATTGTGATTTTGGCATGTGAATTTCTTTTGTTTGTGATTCTGGTATGAAAATCAAGTCCTCTTTTGTTGAGTTGAGGTTTGCTTCTGTTTGTATTATTAGTATGCCTTCGATTTTTTTTTTCCTTTCTTTTTTATTTTTTTTATTGTCTTTTTGAGACAGGGTCTCCCTGTAGCCCCAGCTGTCCTGGAACTCACTATGTAGACCAGGCTGGCCTTGAATTCACAGAGATCCACCTGCCTCTGCTTCCCAAGTGCTGGGATTAAAGGCATGCGCCACCACACCCTGCTGCCTTAGTTGTTTTCTTAATGGGTTTGTAGAACTGGTTGGTCTAGGTTTCAGGTTTTCTCAGATTTTATTTTGGAGGGAACTGATAGCTTCAGATCAGCTACTCAGGAGTTCCCACAGAAGCCCAAGCCAGGGTCCATCCAGTTAGGTGCACTCAGTCTTCCTTCTAACACTTGGATACCTACTAGCAGTTACTGAGAGTACTGTTTGGAAGTTCCTTAAGGGGAGGCCCAATTTTGGTACTCTCAGGCGATCTGTTGAGTTTTCAGTGTTTAAGCCAGATGGAGGCCAGAATAGCCACTCTCAGGCTGTCTGCTAAGGCCTGAATCTTACCCTACCATAGGGCAGAGGTCTGCTCTGGTGCCCTGGGAGGGGTCCCAAGTAATCCCAGTGTGAGGGTTGGGTATGGCACGATTTGGGGGAGCTTACCACCACATGGATGTGAATCGAGGTGCTCTCAGGTGTTCTGTTGAGTTCTCAGTGTCTTAAGTCAGATGGAGGCCAGAACAGCCACTCTCAGGCTGTCTACTACGTCTGATGCTATTTTGATTCTTTTTTAAAAAAATAAATAATTTATTGAGAATTTCATACATGCATACAAGATGTTTTGATCAAATCCATGCCCACGCCTTCCCCTCTAACTCCTCCCATATCTCCCCATCACTTTTTTCTGATAACTTCATGAACTCTTTCTTCTTGATTTTTTTCTTTTTAAATGGGGCTTTTGGCTACTCTAACATTCCCCCAATCTGAAGAGGTAACCCTAAAATCTTTTAAGGGATTAGATAAAAGCTCTCAAATATTTTCAACATTTTTGGCCTTTGGAATTTGGAGTATGTTGCTAAGAGGCCCAAGGACGTTGTGACTTTTAGCCAAGAAACTGGCTACTTTTCTTTGGGGTCTTTTTACCCTAACTGCCTAGCCAATTCCTACCTCCTATTCTTATCACACCATCCTCTGAAGAGGTTACCCAAATTGCCCATAGGGAATCAGGACGCAGACCGTTGTGGCTTCTTCCATGTGGAACAGGAATGCAGGGGGAGGCAATTGGAGTACCCCTTCAGTGGGTCTATCTAAAAGACTCCCAAATTGTATAACTCATATCTCTAGGGGGGAAAAGAAAATCCTTGAATTGTGAATAGGAGGTGTGAAGGGGAAGTAAAGGCAAGAGTAATTAGCATTACAAGTTTTAGGCAGGTAACTAGAAAAGAAGTCAGAATAGGTCAATTTTCAAATGTTCATATGAGAGTCCATTGGAATTTCTTGACAAGGGTTTCCAAAAGCATCCCTCTATTGGGTTCCACCTCATTTTTCTTTTGTTTGCAAAGACTGGACTCTAGAGTGATGGATTCAAGATTTGTTTTCAGGTATTTTGATAGTTCTTGGAGTGGTTAGAATCAGTGTCAGTTCCCTCTCAAAGGCTTCTAGATAGGGGGAGAAAACAAATTTATCTATCATTTTAGAACAATAGCTGGTTGTCTCCCTTAGCTACAGGTGGGCACTACAGTATTGGAGACCAAGATTTGAAGTTTTACATCTGAGCAGCACTTTCTGGTTAGGAACAGAAATCATCAATGAGAAATAATTCTCTAAATAACTTTTTATATTGACTTAAGCCTAATGTCTGGGAAATGTAATCCCTTGAGCTCTTAAAGAAATATTCTGATAACTTTACTCTTTGGTTATCCTTTCCTTTTGGGTGTTTATGACCATACATTTGGCCCAAATAACTCTATTTATTTTTATACTTAAGGTCATTTGAGGATCTGTTCCTCAGGGGGTCATATGTCCATAGGCCCCTGGAATTTAGTCGACCTTGGAGGGCAAGGGGCAAAAACTTCCTTTATGTCCCTCTGACCACATTAGTATAGGCCTCAAAGTTTTGTTGTTAAACATCCAATAAGGTTGTTTCCACCAGTTTGGTACTTTTAATTATCATGTTCTATGTAGATAAAGCTTGATGCTATTTTGATTCTTAAAGTAAAAATTAGGTCATGAAAACAGTCATGATGGCATTGGAAATGTTAAGTCTTAACTATTCGGGAGATAATACTAATTTAAGTGAATTGATTAACTTTCTGAAAGAGAAACATGTTTATTCATAAAAGCAATAATGAATCAGAGGCTTTTTGCTGTGGAGGATTATTATGCATGGTTACTTGCAGGTCCTCCTGCTAAACAGCTGGGAAGTGAGTTTTTTTCTTTCTTTCTTTTTTTTCTTTTTTGATCTTTTTTGAGACAAGGTCTCCCTGTAGCCCCTGCTGGCCTAGAACTCCCAGTGTAGACCAGGCTGGCCTCAAACTCACAGAGCTCCACCTGCCATTTGCCTCACAAGTCCTGGGATTAAAGTTGTGCACCACCACACCCGGTTTATGAATTGATTGTTTTTTAAAATTTGTATGTATGTACCTGTATGATTGTATGTTGTGTGTGTGTGCATTTGTGTGTGTGTGTGTGTGTGCGCGCGCGCGCGCGTGGGTGCGCATGTGCATGCATTTGTCTGTATACATAGACCAGAGAGGGTGATGGTTCCTATGAAGCTGGAGTTACTGTTAGTTGTGAGGTGCCCTATATGGCTCCTGGGAACTGAACTCAGGTTCTTTAGAAGACCAGGGAGTGTTCTTAACCTCTCTGCCATCTCTCCAGCCCCAGTTGATTTTTATAGAGCCATTTTTGTCCATTATTGCTATTAGATTGTACCATTTAAGGATTTTACAAATGTGGATTGGAAATATTTGTTGTGATTAACAAAAAAGGAGACAATTATTTCAGATTCTTCCAAGGAAATTAGTTTTGTATCATAAAATAACTGAAGCTGTTTTTCTGCTTCTCCTTTCTGATGACTTGGACCCTCTTCATGGAGTAGGTTGGCTGAAACCATAGCTACCGTTAAAGTAGAGTACATAAGACTCAGTTAACTAAAGTTGTCAAACTTCTAATTCTGGATCTAGAATCGTTTGCTGTATGGGTTTCCAGGAAGGCTCAGCAAGATGGCTCAGCAGACTTGCTGCCAAGCCTAATAACTTTTTTATTACCGGAAATACATATGATGAACAGAAACACATGTGATAGACAGAGAGAACACACTTCTACAAGTTGTCCTCTGACTTTCCGCACATGTGCTGTGGTGCACACCCACAAAATAATAATAATAAATGAGTAAATGTTTAAAAAACCCAAGAACTTCTAATGCTAGTTATAGCTGTTTAGAAGAATGGACAACATCTTTTTTTTTCCCCATAGAATTCAAGAAATTTTCTTTTTTTCCCCCTTCAGAAAATGGTCAATTTTAGACAAACACTTTTTAGGATGTTTCATAACATACAGTATTGAAACTCATAAAAATGCATTTGTTGCACTGACCTGTAATCATATCACTTGGGAGGCTGGGCAGGAGAATTCTAAGCTTAAGGCAAGCTTGGGCAACTTGGCAAAACTGTGTCTCAAAATAAATAAATAAAGTTAATTTAAAAAAATAAATAGGAAAAAAATTCGTTACTGAAGTTACTGAATTTTAGTCCCTTTGCAGAATCTGTATGTCCTGTCCTCTTCTTTATCCCTGTTTTATGTTTTGTCTATGTCCATGAATGTTGCTACTTTTGAATATTGTCCTTATTAATTCTTTCTAAATTTCTCTTTCACGTTTTCTTCCTGGATTTGCTGTTTCCTTCAGTCTCACCTCAAGGTCAGTATGCTTTCACTCAAACAAAGATAATGTAATTGAGGATCATGTACTAACATTATTTTCCATTCTCACAGGAAACTAAAATGTTAGAACTTATTCTAGGATAAGTGATCATAGAAATCAGTTTTAAGTGCAAAAAATATTCAGAATACAAGATTTGCTACAATCATAGATGCAAACTTCTGTGCTTTGGAGTATATCGAGCATAGTTACAATGCAAGACTTAGACTGAGTAGGTTTTCACTGAGAGAACTGAGATATAAAAACCCACCAGGGGAATAAGGAGGGGAGAAATCATTTTCTTGTTGTTCATACTTTTTTGGCGATGTCTTTTTATCAAGCAGGGTAAAATGAGCAATTAGCAACTGAATTGAAATGTGAAAATTGACAGGGTTCAAAAATGAGCATGTTAATTAATACTGTGTGCATTCTACCTAGCAACTTTCTTCTAGTGATAATGAAATTATCTATGGTTCCTATATACAAGAACCCATCTTTTTTATTCTTATGGCTAGCCTTAGGATGGGCAGATTATTATTCTCATGAATAACTAAGAATAAGGACCGGAATTTCTTCAGGTTCAGGCAGCCAAATAATGATAATGTAGTTGGTATTTTGTTTTAGTCTTCTCCCCACCCCAAGACAGGGTTTAACTAGGTAACCCATATTGGCTTCAAATTCCTGATCTTCCTGTCTCAGTGTTCTGAGTGTTTCATTACAGGTGTGTCTCATTATGCTCAACTTTTTTCATTTCATCTTCAGATCTCTTTATATTATATGCATTCAAACCTAAGAAATAACTATAGATTGTTTGAATTTTCTGAGATTTCCCATTTATAAGCTTTTTCTCTATAACATTAGGATAATTATAAAAGGTGATATATAGAGATAAATGAACCAATCCAAATCTCACTGCAACTGAATCGCACAGTGTAAATAGCTATCAGATGGCACTGTTATATTGCCCCTTCTTGCCTTTTTAATGGAACGCCGTTTAGCCCATTATATTATAGCACAATGTCATACATTTCAGATTCTTTACCCCACTGCACTATTTTTCCTGACTCATACTAGTATTAGTAAAGTATAAATCAGATTCCCATTTCAAAGTTTCTGAGAAGTGTGTCATTGAGCGAGTTTGTTGCTGTTCAAATCCAGTGATAGCACTGGACAGTATAATTTCGTGGAATCATAGAATCATGCAGCACATGACTGTGCATGCATAGAACTGTTTCATCTGCAATACTTGATACTTGAAGACTTTACTTACTTTTGGAAAAGTTTTGTTTTATGTGTGTGTTTGCCTGCATGTATGTATGTGCACCATATATATACCCGATGCCCATGGAGGTCAGAAGAGGACATCAGATCCCCTGGAGCTAGAGTTTCAGACAGTTGTGACTCACTACGTGGGTATTCGGAATTGAACCCAGGTCCTCTGGAAGTGCAGCACATGCATGCCTTTAGTCCTAGCACAAAAATCAATTCACAGTGAATCAAAGACTTTAATACAAGACCTCAAACATTGAAACTCCTAGAGAAAATACTTCCAGATTGGAAGCACAGGTAAAGACTTTCTGAAAAGCTCATGAAGTAATAGCAAGAATTAAGAAATGATATTTCATGAAATTAAAAAGCTTCTACACTGCAGTGGAAACAGTTAACAAGAGTCAAGATATGGTCTGCACAATTGGAGAAAATCTTTGCCAGTGATACATCTGGCAGAAGTTGCTATTTAGTATGTATAAAGCATTCAAGGCTAGGCATGGTGGCGCATGCCTTTAGTCCCAGCACTAGGGAGGCAGAGGCAGGCGGATCTCTGTGAGTTCAAGGCCAGCCTGGTCCACATAGTGAGTTCCAGGACAGCTGGGGCTACAGAGAGACCCTGTTTTAAAAAGACCAAAAAAAAATTTTTTTTTTCAAAAAAATTAAACACCCGTACTAGTCCAGTCCAGAAATGCATAAATCAACAGAAAATTCTCAGAGAATTATTGCGAAGGCCAGTAAACATGGAAAAAAAATCCTTATCAATCTTGGAACTGGAAATCTTAGACTCCACTGAGTTCTATATCATCCTAATTTGAATGACTGTCATCATGAAAACAGCAAATGCTGGTGAAGACAAACTGGAGGGTAAAGGAAATGTTATACATTATTGGTGAGAATGTAAGTTTAGTATAGGCACATAGAAATAAATCAGTGTAGCGGTTCCTTACATTACTAGAACTGAAACTACCACATTATGTCTCTGTACTACTTCTGTGTACATACACCAAGGAATCAGCATGCTAGAGAGATAGGTATGCCTCCATGCTTATCATAATATTATTTCCAGTAGCCAAATTAAGGCATCAGCCTAGGTGTCCATCAGTAGATGAATAAAGACATTGTGGCAACAACGAAGATTTATTCAGTCATATAGAAGAGTAAAATTAGGTTGCTTTCAGGAAAATAGTTAGCCAAAATAAACCATACTCAAAGACAAGTCCTATAGTGATTTCTCTCGCATATGAGAGAAAGAGTTGAATTTCTGTATTTACATCTGTTTGTATCATCTTTAAATAATATTTTATATCTATGTATATGCACACACATAGAGACAGAAGAGGGACTATTTAGGAATAGGAAAATTGGTAGAGGGAACGGGAGGAGGAGATGGTTCCTGATAATTGAAAGAAACTGTCCTTATTAAAAACATCACTTTATACAATGAATATGCCCTAATAAAATATTCTTAAATTTTTAATTTTTAATTATATGAGGGTACACCCATATTGTGCACTGCCTGCAGAAGAGGATGTCAGATCCCCTGGACCTGCAGTTAGGGAAAGTTGTTAGCCACCATGTGGGTGCTGGTAATTGAATCCTGGTCCTCTGCAAGAACAGCCAGTGCTCTTAAGTGCTGAGCCATTTCTACAGCCCCTAATAAAATATTTTTAAAACTGAGTGTCTAGGTTTAAATAACCAACTTAAACTTAATGGAAAGCAGAAGTTGGATCACAAGACACAAATTTACCCTTGAGTGCTGTTCCAGAAAACTTGTAAACCTATCCAGTCTTCTGAATTAAGATAAAAGTAGGACAGTTAAGAATATCTTCAGCGTGTTTTAACTGTTTAGAATTTGCGGACTCAGATTTGTATCATGCAAAGTTTTATGTAGGTTGCACTATGTACAGATATATATGTTGAGGGAATGCTGGGTGATATTTCAGAGACAATCTGTAAAGGTGGAGTATTGGAGGAGACTGAGCTGTGGTGCTGATGCTTTGCAACTGTGTCTCGCTTTCCTACTTTCTTGCCTCCTAAGATCTCTTCCGATATTCAGTTGGGTTTTTCATTAGTTTAATGAGGACAACAATTCATCTGGCTTATTAAAATTTAATTCTTTTTAAAAATTATTTAATAACCAAATACTTAGAACAAGAATTTCATTACAACAGCATTGACATATTCAATAACAATTTTCTGAGCTAAGATATATCTCTTTCAAAATTGACTGTAAATTTTTAGGTTCACAGTTGAATTAATACAGTTATACAATATTGAACTCTGTATAAAGCCCATAAGACATAAAATTGAATGAGGTTTTAACCTTTAAGAAACATCTGCATTTCATTTTAAAATATATTGTTTCATACAGAAAACAATATCATTTTTAATGCTACCAACACTTAGATGTTTGCATATGCATCTCTAATCTCTATGTACCTGAGTATTACTAGTCAGAGTCGGTTACTTTCTGAGATCCTTGGCACCTGAGCATGGATATAAGGTCATCAGGTAGATTTTAATGGTAGTATTTTTCACCTCTACTAATTAACATGAAGCAAATTTTTATGCTTCTTCCTCAAATATAACAAATTTTTTAAGCACATGCTTGTCTAATCTCTAGATATCTGATTATTAGTACTCACAATCAGTTACTTTCTGAGTTCCTTGGCATCTGAGCATGGACATAAAGTCCTCAGGTAGATTTCAATGGTAATGTTTTTCACATCTACTAATTATTAAGGAGTAAATTTTTTGCTTTGAAGAGTTATTTTTTTAATCATTATTTTTAAAAAAATTTAATAACTACATGATTAGAAGAAGCATTTCACTACAGCCTCAACATATTCAGTAACACACTCCAGAGCAAGAGTACATCTCTTTCACACGTGGGTGCAAATTTCTAGGTTCACAGTTGAAGTAATACAGTTATACAATATTGAACTCGGTATAAGCCTTGTAAGACATTAAATTGAATGAGTTTTTAACCTTTAAAAAAGATCTCCATTTCATTTTAGATTATATTGTTCCTTGCAGAAAGACTCATTGTTTTTGCTACTAACACTGAGATGTTACCACATGCATCTCTTAATCTGTGTGTATCTATTACTAGTAATAATCGGTTGCACTGAGATACTTGGCGCCTGTGTATGTCTATAAAGTAATCGGGTAGATTTCAATGGTAACGTTTATCACCTCTACTAATTAGCCTGACATAAATTTCTATGCTTTCTCCTCAAATATAATACATTTTAAAAAAATTGTTGATTTTGTGTGTGTGTGTGTGTATATCACACAGAACATCCCAAACCATCTTATTCAACTATACACACACTTCCAAGATGGCACCCTCACATACATACTGGAGCCCACATACTCTGTCATCCCTGTTACTGTCCTCTGTGTTGTCGACATCCCCAGCCATTCTCCAGTGCTTGTCTGTCTGGTGAATCTAGGCAGTCTATCTAGAGATCCCTGTTTTAGGAAGATTGGATGTTCCTCATCTAGCAGTAATCAGTTGTCAATACTCCTTTAGATAAGATTGGGGTCTGCTGTTCGTTTTCCCAGTTCTATGCTGGGTTACAATCTGGGAGTCCCTAGGGCCACCCTGGCCAACAACTCAAAAGAAGGTGTCTCCTAACTGGCATTGTTTCTTGTTATGTAGCCTTTAGCTATGCATATGGACTCTTAAAGAGATATTATATGTATATTTGTCATCAGGTTGTTGGACA